GGCTGGAGCCAACTGGCCTTGGAAGAATTAATGACCTCCGCCTCTGCCTTCAGCCCGCCCTCCCTTCCCAGTAGTCCCCTTTTTTAGAACTGTCCTCTGGGCTGAGGTTTTAAGACCCTCAGTGGCAAGAGCTGATATCCTCCATTGACTTGGAGACATCTGGGAGGGGCCCAGGGGGGGACTGATAATGGTGGGGGAGAAGCTGGCAGCCTTTAAGACTTTCCAGAGAGGCCCAGGGAGTACAGGAGCCTTAGCCTGATTGCAGGGGTTGAGGCAACGGGGGAATGAGCCTGGGCTGCCTGCTGGTGGGGAATTCCAGCCCTGGCCAGCCACTTGGAAGCACATGTGTTTAGCCAAGCACAGAAACCCACAAAGCTGCTGCTTCATCCTTCCATGCCTGCTTCTGAAGACTAGGGTTTGGGAGCCTTGGGAAATGTCTCTGTTACCAGAAGCACCTCATACACGACACTGGCCAGTCAGCACCAGGGCTATAATCTCCCTTTCAATAGTTCCAGAACCTCATACATGACACTGGCCAGTCAGCACCAGGGCTATAATCCCCCTTTCAATAGCTCCAGAACCTCATACATGACACTGGCCAGTCAGCACCAGGGCTATAATCCCCCTTTCAATAGCTCCAGAACCTCAAACATGACACTGACCAGTCAGCACCAGGGCTATAATCCCCCTGCAATAGCTCCAGCCTTCTGCACACTTGCAGACAACTTAGCAGATCCTGATGAGGGTGGGGGCGTAAGGATGGCCATCTCATGGCTGCTGTTTCCCCGCACACCCTCCTAACCACTGTAACTGATGTCAAGCATTCCTCCCAATGGTCCCAAAAGGGAAGTAAGAAACTGCACAGCAGGTGAAATAGTCTGTCCAAAGTCATCTGGGTAGTGAGTGGCCAGATAAAATCTAAGCCTGCTTGGCATGTGCCCTCCTGCCCCATCCCTGGGAGGAAGGAAGGATGGTAGCGTTCCTCCAGACTTGCCCCCCCCCTCTGTGTATCACACAGTGATTGAAGGCCCCCAGGGTCTATGGAAACTCTGACCCCTTGCTAGGAAGCATTGCAACATGTGAGTTTCCATTGTCACACATCACAGGGCGCTTGACTCTCTCAAACAGCAAAGGCCGGGGGCCTAAGGCCAGGTGACATGAGCAGATCTCCTGACTTACTGTCACGTGACTTAGACTCCGGTCTCTCTCCACTGATCTGGGCCCCACCCCTGCAAAAGAGACTGTGAGTGTTCTCTGTCACCTACAAGATGGAAATGGCACATGAGGTCACTGCAGCCAGGGACCTGACCAGAAATCTAGCAGAGGGAAGTGGCGGACAATGGGGTGGTGTGGAGCTTGAGAGAACTCAGCAAGTCCGGGGCTGGCATCACGCTGCTGGGAAAGAGGCCAGCGTGGAAGAGGAGACAGATCCTTTACTCTAGCCAGTTTGCATGATTGAGAACACTTAAAAGCCTTTCTTTGGTGAGGCCAAAAGCAGGAGAATGGCTGTGTCTTTCCAGGAAAATCACGTGTGCAAAGTGTGGTAGACAGGTATCAAGCGACAGCCCTGCAAGTGTCCTGTTTGCGGACTTCCTTCTGTTCTGCTCTAACCTGGTTCCTGTTGTCCCGGCAACAGAGTAATAGCAGAGGTGGCTGGAAATGACTGTGCTAAGTCACTTAATTATCATGAACAGGCACACTGCCAAGCAAGGGTGGTTATAGCTGTGGTAGACTTAGTCACTCCTGCAACCAAATGTGGCCTCGAGAGGGTCAGAAATGTGCACAGCAAAATGGACCTCCAAAAGATGCACCTTGATTAACTGAAGAACCTTTGAAATGATGAAGGCTTTATATTGTCCTACCACTGAGTTGATTTTATTTTATTCTACTGACAAGCCAGTGATTTGTATAGTTGGGCTACTTCCCAGTTACTCCATTCCCAAACTCTTTTATAGAGATTTATCAACAACACGAGTCTATTCTGTTTGGGCTGCTATTGAGGCTCCAATCTGGAACATCCTGTAGTGGTTTTGTTTTTGGAAGGATCGTCTGTCTCATAACCTCTTAGTAACGGGACTTTGAGGGCTAACGGCCGATGTATTATCACAGCAAATTATTATGACTCGTGGACAAGCAAGCCCGCAGCAGCCAAGCCAGAGCGCTCTCTGATTATGGGTTTATTTACTTTAGGTCATCGAACGTCACCAGCAGCCACCATGGGCCACACTTGCTTTGTTAGATGCCTGTGAGTATTTTTCCCAACAGCCACACAGTCAAGGCTTGGGGAGACTTTCAAAGTCACCCAGTCCTCAAAGTTCTCAAAACATTGTTCTTTTTTTACCCCCATATAGTCCCTGGAGTGTGTGTTGACTTTTTCCTGCTCCACAGCACCCTGCAAGCTACCCGATTGCACCTTTGGAGCCCCTGGGGCAGTAGTGGTCAGGCTATCATTCTCCCAGACAGTAGGTGAGGTAACAGGTGAGGTGGCAGTCCCAGATTGTCACCAGCAGAGCAGGAACTGAACCCAGCCCCACTGGAACCAGCAGCCTCTGCTATTCCTGCTGGTTGCATTCAAGCATTGGTGTGGAGAGGCAGCTGCATCTTGAAGAGATTTCTGATCTCCATAAGGCTCTGCTTCAGAGCAGAGCACACGAGGGTCATTGACACAGATTGATCCCACAGGTCAGAAGCCCCGGGGACAGTATATACATCTGGCGCCACTAAGCCCAGCATGTACAGGCTGTGTGGGGCCTTGCCTGTTATTCTCTTTGGATTCTAGTTCTTTGTGGTCTTAAATTTGAGATTGCTGGTTCTCTGTCTGTGAGGGATAGGGATAGGGATGTTTAAAAACATATCATTTACTCCTAAGAGTGAGTCAAATATTTTACTTGAATGTCTTTATTCACACCTTAAAAGCATAAGATGCGATATTACTCTCATCTACAAATCAGGATACTGAGGGTTGGCATAATGGCCTCTTGCTCTACATCACACGATAGGTTCTTACAACACACAACTACCCTCTACTTCCTATAAGTCTGTTGCTCACTAGGGACTCTGGAGACTATGCTGGGAGCCACCAGCCGACACTCGTCCCTTCTAACAGAGATTTTTTTTCAGATTGCAACATCTCTTCATAAAATTTGCAAGTATAGGTTTTTTAAAATATTCTTTTTCTAAAGGGGAGCTGCCCTAGACTGTAGAAACCTCAGAATCCTCTGAGAATCTCCACCCATCCTACTCAGATGAATGCCCTACCTAAAAATGCCTGCTCTCTTCAATTAACTCCCAACTTTTGTTATTTCTCCTTAGATTTTCCACTAATATACCATATGCCTTTTATACCAACTACCTCATCCATTACACATTGAAAGCATTGCTCGACACATTTTCTTTGGGCGCACAGATGCAGCCATTATCTGCACTCTTGTAGTATCCTGTGTAGCAAATGGAACTGATACTATTTCCATATTATCCACGAGTGCTGTCTCACAAGAGCCCACCACTTTCTATTCACTATGCTACCTTAGGACTTGGCCCTGGCCAGGCTTCCCTCACTGTGATATCATAGTTTACTCATGGAGTAGACATCATCTCACTGATGCCTCATCTTTGACTCTTCTGACCCTCAGCAGGCTTCCCTGGTGACTCAGACTTTAACAATCCCCTTTTTAATGTCTCCCCAAATCAGTCACTTGTCACCATAGACCCATCCCAGGTATTGTTACCAGCACCCTGCCGTAATCCCACTACATCAGTCTCCTTCTGGAATTGGCCTGGGATCTTCACCTCCATAGATCTGAAGTCTCCAGTCTACCCCACAGTGGTCTCTTTCTTTTGTACCTAACATAATGTCCTCCTGACTTGAGCCTTTACATTTCTCACATCCTCTGGTTTCAGAACACTCTTTCCCTCACTTCCTCCCAGCCTTCTTGATTGTCACTCGTTTCTCTGGTGTCAGCATCGTTCCTCTGGGTTCACCTTCCATGTCTATTTGGTTTGCATCAGAACCTGTGGCAGACTCAGTCTGTGGCTTCTTAGAGGTAGAGAGAGCCTCTCTTCCCTGGCATGGCATGTAATCAGATTTATTTACAGAACAGGAAACATCAATATGTGTTCATTGAAAATAATACCTAACCCCCTCAGCATTCAGAATTGATTCTTGACGGATCAAAGATTCAAGCATAAGAAGTCAAAAGACAAAAGAGAACATAAAATTCTAGGGGGAAGGAGTAGGGACAGACAGTTCACAGAAGATAAACAAAAGACCAGCCGTGGCACAAGTAGCCATGATCTTGAATATGTAGGGAGAAAAAAACTCCCCTGTGGTCTGGATAGGTTTAGAAGGCAAAATTGGCAATTCTTTCAAGATGGCAAATGTTCAGGGTACTTTTCTCCAGAAAGTCTACTTCTGGATATGTGTCTACAACAGAATCCCTACACGTGAAGAGAACAGCATGGCAAATGTGGTCTAAAGGCTTGTTTAGAATGACATAGTGACTGTAAACCACCTAAGTGCTTGCCTATGGAAAACATTAAATAAATTGGAACCCCAGGCATGTGTTTAAGAGACTATTGTTCATTTACTAGTATTCACATGGAGAGATGTCAAAAGACACTAATAAGTTGTGAGAAAATGTCAAGTTGAAGAACAGTATGCCTAGAGCAATCCTAGTTTTGTTAAGAAAGCAAGATGGTGTCATTCATTAAGATTGAAGCCAGCCTGGGATACATGAGATCTTACAGAGAGAGGTGAAGAAGTGGGGGAAGGAGAGAAAAGAAGGGGAGGGGGAGGAGGAGGAGGAAGAGAAGAAGAAGAAGAAGAAGAAGAAGAAGAAGAAGAAGAAGAAGAAGAAGAAGAAGAAGAAGAAGAAGAAGAAGAAACTAAAAGAGTTAGATAACAGGCAATAACATTTCCTATCATTTTCTCAATATGTGAGATGTTCCAGAACTTCCCAAAGGAAAATTTTTAAAAGAAGGATTCACTCAACATAGCAAGATAAAACAAATAAAAATGTAATCAACGAAAAACACGGAAAATAAACAACATCAAGTCCACCCCCATATCAGATGTTGTAGATAAGCATCTTGCAAGCCACTCAAGACATTTCATCACAGTCTCGTTGGAGATATGAAAATGGAATGTTTCCCATTCTCAGCTCTAGGATGCAACTCACATGGACAAAAGCCAAGACGACTGGCCATAGAAGATCTTGGCTCAGAGACTCCATAGCAGCGTGACGAGCCTGGGGGGTAGAGGGGACAGACTTGGAAATGAGGCCAGGGCTCTGTATCTGAGCAGTGCAGGGCCATGGAGGCCTTGAGTCCTCTCATTTTCTCTAGGCAGAGAGGCCACCAGACAAGGGAGAGGGACTAGTTACTGGGCAGGGCAGGTCTCATCAAGTATCTTTGGATGACCCACGGTCCTCCATGCCTGATACTTTCGAAGCATTGGGAGCAACCCCCAGTATATACACATGTTCTTTGACCTGTCTGCCCCTGGGTAAGTAGACTTGGGGAGAAGGTGTCTTTGCTCTGGCTCTCACCCTTTGTGCGAGCCCCCCACTCCACAGCCAGGGCCTTCATCGGTTGCACCTGCACCTCCTCCCGCTCTTCTGGTTTCCTTTCTCTTGAAAAAAAAAAACTACTAACCTCAGTGCAGTTGTGACTCTGAGGTTTTGAAACCCTCTTCCTGTGAACTCTGATGTGGGTGATAAGAAGCAAAGGGAAGAGGCCTGTGGGTCTCACAGAGGGGCCTTTGCTTTGGGCACTGAAGATTAGAGATGGGGCAGGTCTGGTGGGACTCTAAGGGTGTTGGACCTCTGCATTTGAGACCCTAGGCTATCCATGGCAGGCAGTTGTTTTCTAGTTATCAGATGCCCAGCTGCCTGGGGTACCCACGAGGCTGTGAGCTCCTTATTTATGTATGTCCCAGTCTAGGCTGAGGAGTATAGGAACCTGAGAGGGACTAGGTGCTGCCAAGGAGCCTTGTAGCTGAACCCATGCTGGTCCACATTGCTCCATCCAACTCACACCTCTGCTAGGGGTCAGCCCTGGGTTTCTGGGCATCATGCTGCTCACTGAGGGACCAGGAAACCAAGCATCCTCCTTCTGTAGCTTAAGGCCTGGGCACACATGTGGAGAGAGGGCCTCTGCACCAGTCCTGGCAAAGATGCTGAGGCAGCTGAGCCAGGTTGTCATTCATACGTGGTTGTCCTCTTGCTTAGAGCTTCTGTGTCTGGATCTGGCTTCTCAGAGGTTCAGATCTTGCTTTCATGTTGCTGAAAATGCTCGCAGTCAGCCCTATGCATTCCAGGGTCCATCTGGGTCCCCAAAGTACATGAAACCATTTCAAATGTGGAAAGTGAACACATAAGGACAGAGTTAGTTTCCTCACCTAAGAAGGTGAGTGGGTGATCCGGAGTCCTTAGCTGAGCACAAACTTAAGAGTGGGTCCCTCTTTCCCTTTTCTCCTCATCTCCATTCTCCTCCTCCTTTTTCTGTAATAAACCACAAGTAAATTGTTCAAAATAATTTTGTATACATATAATTTTACCACTTATTGATGATAAAAATTGCATATTAATGAAATAGCTGTATCTGCTTGTTTTTACATGAAAATGTAAATCTTTGCTTAGTATTTGACCTCTTCACATAACTATGTAGCTCAAAGTAGCAGATGTCTGTTTAATGCCATTTTAGAATTTGTTGGGAAATCTGTCTTAATACCAAGTGAGCTTTTGTGGGCTCCTACAACAGGGTCTGTGTGCACTGGTCTCCACCATCTAGAGCAGTAGTTCTCAACATTCCTAATGCTGCAACCCTTTAATATAGTTCCTCATGTTGTGATGATCCCAAACCCATAAAATTATTTTCATTGCCATTTCAGAACTGTAATTTTGCTACTGTTATGAATCATAATGTAAATATTTGAAGATAGAGGTTTGATGAAGAAGTTGTGACTCACAGGTTGAGAAACTCTGATCTAGAACATCATCTAGAACATTGTGAAAAAATCACAAAAAAGAAAAAGAATTTCCCCCCTCTGGTACTGCTGGACAAATACTTTGCCACAATCTGCCTCCAACTTTGCTCTCCTCTGTTCCATAGAAGGCTGCCCTGAGGAGTCTGTGCCAGCAGGTGCCTTGCCCTGTTCTGACCCACAGGTGCACTCTCAGCCTGTTGGAGACAGAAGGTAGGGCAAGATCAGGACACAGGACATCTCCTTCAGGGTGCCACAGCCTGGCTGTACACCCAAGTGGAGCCACTGTCCAGTCTGGTGCCCAATTCACTCAGTTCAAGCTCCCTGCTGCTCTGATAATCTCCTGTGTGTGGTGAGGCCTGATGGGATAGGCTGCTAATCTTGGTCAAGGTTCTTACAACCTTTTGTATATCCGCCAAGACCGCTAACAATAGCCTCTTTATGGAATACTCTTAAATGGCCAATTTGCTCGTGCTGTCTGCTTCCTGCTAGGACCCTGCCTGATCCATACTAGCCAGCCAGCTCATTGGCAAAGACCTCTGGAGCTGTGAGTCATCATAGACCGAAACTTGGCCCATGGAGGTCTTCTTCTAATGGCTGTCCTTTGCTCTGGCTCTCTTCATCACCCCCTGATTCATCTCCCCACTTTGCCTCATACTTCCTCCACCTGCCGTTTCCCCCCTGCTAGATGTCTAGAGAATAAAAGCCCAGCTACACAGGCCCATGCTAACTATAGCCACCTGTGATGCATGCAGAAGTTGTATTCAGTGAACACTAATGTCTTTGAGCATCACTGGTTAGTCACAGAGGCCGTGGATCCTTGGAGCATGTGTCTTGGAAGCTAATACTTAGAAGCAGGGTGATCTCACATTACAGAGAGAGTCCTTTTCTCTGGTCTTTGACCAGTAAAGCTTATTCACCTACCCACTCACTTATATAGTATGTGGAGGGGCTGACTCCCTATGAGGCCCACCTTCCAAAGAACTGGGCTTCACTTACTCTGGGAGTCTGTGCCTGGCCCTGGGCCAAGGCTGGCTGTCCCACACACTTCTGTTTCATCCCATCCATTTATACTTTATAAGCTTCCTCATATAAAGATTCTGTCCATTGTCCACACTCTCCATTGAGCTCTTTGCTATTGAGACACTGGTGTGTGTCTGTGTAGCTTACCATTGTTTCTCCTTGACTGGGCACACTGATGATACTCAACAAACACTTGTTGGAAAGATGATATTTCAATCAATGATTCTGTAGGCCACTACTTATCTGAGTGACTACTGAATAACAATGGCCAATTTGTCTGTAAAGCACATCAACATACATAGTCTAGGGAAGACTCTGGTCCCTGCTGAGCCTCAAATTAAGAGAGGGACTCTCACCAAAGTCTCTGAACCTTAGGGTTCTCATCTAAAAGACAGATATCATACTTATTTATATCTATGTTCTGCCTTCTCATGATGAATGCTCAAACTCAGGAACTTAGAACAACATAAGTTTGTCTCACAGTTACTATGGGCCAGGAATCCAGACATGGCTTAGTAGGATCCTGTTAGCTGGACACAATCAAGGTGTTATCTAGACAGTGGTACATCTTCATCTGGAGGTTCAAGTGGAGATGGTCCACTCACAGACTCAGGAGCATTCCTTATGGCTGCAGAACTGTGGCTAGTCTCCCTGCTAGCCAACAGCTGTTCCTAACTTGCAGAGGTTCTTGCCAAAGATTTCTCTATAAACCTTTCTTAGGTTGCTGATGTTGACATCTTCAGAGTTGGTCTCTGGCACCTGGCTGCTAGCAACACTAGGGCTTTGATAATACAGTGATGGCAGTGATTATCCCACCTTTTCTTTATTCTATTGGCTACAAGTGAGACATGGGTTCTGCTGCACTGAGGGGGAGTGGTCACAGGAAGGCAAGGTAATGAAAACCACCTTAAGTCTGTCCCTTAGAGAACTGACCTTTGTTCCATGTGGCTGTTAAGGGACCAAGGTGTGAGGTGGAAGAGAGCCTTTGTACCCAGCACTCAGTAGACTCCAGAAATGACAGAGGCAATGAGGAGCAACTGTCTTTTCCTCGCCCTATTTTGCAATGCTGGATGACAGTTGGTCCTCAGGCCCCAATATACCTGGCCACTTCCACCAACCTATTTCTGTCATTTCTACTACTTTTCTGGATGGTGGGGTTAGGTGGGATTGGTCATGTGGCATTGACCAGGGTGATCTATAGACATTCTTACTATTGTAACTGTTTTTTAGAAGACCAGTGGTGTCTTGATAATTCTTCCAGCCTCTCTATTGACTTTCCCATGGGGAGGAAGCTGGTATAGCTCAGATAGTTCGTGGGTGTTGAACTATAATGTTTGCCAGGTGGTTTAAACTAAGTCCAGAACTGTATCCCCAGGGGACCTGAGGTGGTTGGAAGGCAGTGGGGGTGGGTAGGTAGGCATGGACTGGGGGAGAGGAGAACTTAAAAGACAAAGCTGGGAGGAGTGGGAGTCTTGATGGGTGCCAGTGTCTAAGACCTGCCATGGGAGGCTCCACGTTTACCTCACACCTCCCCCCACAGGCTTCTGCAATTTTTCTTGCCCAGCTCTTTCTCCATCCCTCCACAGACTCTGCTGAAGGGGGAAGAAAAGGCTAATGCTTTCAGAGATGTGGACTGTCTGGGTTGGGAAGGAACTTGGACTGGGAGCAACATTGTCTTCAGGTTGCAAGTGGAAGTCATTCAGCTCTTTCAGATTTCACTTCCGCCATCTTTTTTCAGTCTTTGAGGTGGCTAAACTGGAGCCTGGGGGAAGGGGGGGGGAGAAAATGCGCCTTCTTCACTCATACAGATTTGGGACGGCGAGTTAGGATGCTGCTGGCCTAGGAGCTCCTTTCTCCAGGGGCCTTCTGCCTGTCTGAGAATTCACTGGTGCTGGCAGGACAGGTCTGCTCTGGCTGCAGTCCAGATCTTCATACCGTGTACTCTGACTCCTGACCCTGGCTGTCTTCTTTCCTGCCCTTCATCTCCTCAAAGTACCGCAGTGGCCTGTTGACCCATGCTCTCCATGTGTCCAGCATCAATAGGAGTGGCCACAAGGATTCCCTCCCAGCAGGGACAGAAGCTGTTTGAGGCTTGCATGCCTGGGCAGCTGAGAGCTTTAGAAAATAAGACAGAGGGTAAGTACTGTCATTTCTGGGCACGGTTACAGTCCTGTGAGTTGCCTCAGAGGAGCAGAGGACCCCTTAGCTGCAGGAAGGATTGCTGGGGACTATATGGAGCTGAGGCTGTGGCTTCCCATACAGAGGAGGGAGCAGACCAGACTTGGGGCTCTGAGGTAGAAAAGTGGAGGACAAAAGTTGCAGTGCAGCAGCCCCAAGGCAGGGATAAAAACATGGGAAGCACTGCAGGTCCCTTGTGGGGGAGGTTTCGTCACCCCTGAAAAAGCTAGTGATCAACTCTTGGAAAGTCTGTCTTCAGGGCTGGGAAGTAGGGGACTAGGTGCCTGTATTTCTTCTGTAGCCAGAGGAGGTATGGGGGAGAATGGACAGAGGTGGCCAGGCTGAGAGATAAGGGCTGTGTGTGTCTTCAGGGCTGAGAAGCATCCCGGGCCCCGGAGAAGGCTGTACTAGGACATTGTGAGCTCAGGGGACAGTTGATCTGAGAGCTCAGATGGGCTGGCATTTCTCCGAAGTTCAGCCTGACATCCAAGAAAACACTCTAAAAATGGTCAGTGACCCAGGGGAAGAATATCTTACAGCCTGTTCCGATTACTTTGTAGTGAGAACCTTGTGGCCTCCTCAGGGACAGGATTTAGAGAAAAAGAGAGTATAACACATCACACACACACACACACCCTAACCTCCTCTTTTCTACCACAGCATACAGACTGCAGACCCCTGATCCCTTTGGGACTAGGCCGTGGGATCACATGGAGCCCCACCCGCCTACACACAGCTACTTTTGGACACATCCATCACATACCGTACTCGGCATCATACAGCCTCTTGGAACACATGTAACCACAGACAAGTATTCATGGACTGTAGCATAGAATCTCACAAATCACACAGTAAGATGTAACCAAGGACAATCAACCATTTCTTCTGGGCTTAATCAGACCCAGCTGCACACAATTACACAGTGACTCTGAGTCACACATGGACTGGCACCACAGTACCCAACCACAATCACATTCAGCTACACTTGTCAGCACATGGTAACACACAGTCACAGGCTATCAAACTAGACCATCACAGCCGGGGATCGTAGGTAATGATAGGTCACCTGTGATGTGGGCTTTAAGTTAGCATTAGGAGCAGAGGCTGGAGGGATCCAGTTCTCTGAGTGGGAGGTGATGAGGGCCTGATTGAGTTGGGGATGGAGAAGTCCACTGTGGCCTCCAGAAAGTCTACTTCCTGATCACTCCCTTCAAAGTAGAGAAACAGGAAGGTGCCTCTCTCTCCTGACAGAGTCCATGATCCTGATGCAGCCCCCTGTACCACCTGCCTCCTCCCCTCTGGTCCCTGCCGGACGGC